TTTCCCTTTTTTCCCATTTATCAACATCTTTTATTTATGTAGGCATTTTTATGCTGCTTTTCAATAAAATTATGCCCAAGGCAGTTTACAATAGAAAATCAAATACAAATACAAGAAGCAATTTGTAACTAAAACTAGGATAAAAGTTGTTTTATTATGGTTATTAAGGAACAGTCTGAAAATGTTTTAAAGTCTTTAATTGATGTTGGATGGTCTGTAATGAGGAAATTAAAGTTCCCAGTAAAGGGCATTTTGAAGTCTTGAGGCAGTTGTCCAGAAGCGTTTAATTTGGGTCCCATCAGATGTACCCAGACAAAATGAGTTTCTACAGCAATGCCTCCTCAGGCTGTGTCAGGGCAGGGGCAGATATATATGGGTTAGAGGTAGTCCTTCAGGGACTTCGGGGCTTCAGAGTCTAAAACCAACGTTTTGTGTTGGGTCCAAAACAAACTGGAAGACAATATAGTTGATATAAAATTGGTGCATAATGTGCATTGCACACCAATTACTATTCTGGCTGCTGCATTCTGAGCAGTCTGAGTTTCCAAATCTCCATCAAAGGTGACCATTCATAAAACACATATAGTTTTACAAACTGACTCTTACCAAAGTGCGTGTAACAGTGGCTTTCTCCAGGAATTGCTGCAGTTGGCAAACAAGTGAAAGCTGTTAAAAATCACTCTCAGACAGACCCCTCCATCACTGGAGTAGCAGTAGGAAAAGAGTCCAGGGACAAAAACTCTCTTGGGCCATAATTTTGCTTTGCCATGATACAAATCTTTTAGTAGATAAGACAGGAATCATTAAGAGTCTTATTATTTGAACACTCCCATTTAATTTTTCATACTTTCTGGGATGTTTTATGTAAGGGCTAACATTTTTTCTTTGCATTCCCATAAGCAGACTCATCTAGACACAGGTTTGCATTTTGATCCTAATATGAATTAGAGTTCTGTTCAAGCATGTACTTACTATGTAAAAAGTGACTATATAAAATAAGTTGCATGATAGGGTATGTTAGTTCATGGTTAAGTAAGATACTACTTAAGTATATGGGACAATGTGAAATGTTTTACCACTAAAGTAAATTCCTGCAAGCAAACTGTTAATTTAAGTAGTATCTTTATTATTAACATTTGTATATTAGATGCTATCCATATACATTATATATATTAGTAGCATTAAACATGTGTTGTTCTGTGTCACTGATGAGTAACTAGTCACTGAATGCACTGTAAAGATATTTCCGTAGTCTTAATGTTGATTATATAGTCCTACCTGCAGTCACAGTGTGTGTGATATTACTATTGTTATTCTGCCTTTCCAACCACAAGTTGTTCAAGGCAGCTTGCCCATTCTGGCTGTGGTTTTGTTAGCAGGCCTACTCAGAATCCTACTCAGGTCTATTCAGTGAGGCTTACTTTCAGGAAAATGTTTTAATGAGTGCACTGAGCATTGTCCATTGCTTGGGTTCTACATGTATTAAAAACTTACTTTGCTACTCAATCCAGTCAGGATGTCTAAGAGGTACTGAATGCATGTTTACTGCCTTTCTGTGAAGTCTGAACATTAGGAGAGCAAAGCAGCTCAGAGGCAGCTTCTTAGCTTAGAACTTTCTTGTCCTGACCATTTTACTGAAGCTTTGAGCATAAATTGCAGCTAATGATTGTAAGACTATTCTTTTGGGGCAAGCCTTTGAACCAGGCAGGTGATTGAACCAATAGGGGATAGATGGAATAATCAGAGAACCCTTTCAGTCACACACTCAAGTCTGTAGTTTGAATCACTTTTGTTTCAGATTCCTTTACCATGGTTCATTTTCAATTGTGTTGGACTTCAGTTTATTAAAAGCAAAGTCCACAGATTAATTCCTATTCTGTTGCATATCACTGGAGAACAATTTAAGCTTCTTAGTTTAATAAGTTGTTTGCTCTAATTTTTTTTGTTGAATTTAGGGTGGAACATACCATGAGCCGCATGCAGATGATGGAACATCTACAAAAGAAAATAGACTTCTGTATAATGATTCTGTACCAAGGAGAGTTGGTAGCTTTTACAGAGGTATTTTATCATATAAAACTGAATCAGTATTGCTACTGTTATTCTAATAAAAGATTATCGCTATTTAATTATATAATGAATATTACTGTTCTTCTTTCTGGCAAAAAAAAATCCCTAAAAAGGAAGTGGGGAAAGCCTTCTGTTTTTGGAACGATATGCAAGGTTTAAAAATGACTGAAAGAACCACTGTTCTGAGGTACCCTGTTCTGTCCTCCCTTTCAGTTTATCTTTCTGCTTGAAGAAAGATATTTTAGGGCTTGGTAAGATTTTAGAGCTTGTCTTCTCTTAAACAGAATGTATGGCTCCATTCAGACATAACACAAAACTATGATTTAATTAAGATAACCAAAAATAATTGATCATCTGGACCTATAACTATAATTAGCTCAAGCCAGGGTATGAAACTAGCTTATTAACCATAGTTGGTCCTGACTATAATTTTGCATCATGTATGATTGCTGTGTCCTGGTTTAACCTGGTCTTCCTGCTAATGCTCCATGCCCAACCTCATTACAGAATCAGCTGGCAAGGAAGGCTCATGAAACTAATCTCAGTTCCAAGTCTTCCTTGCAACAGACTCCTGTTACCACCCCACTTCTGCTATCAGCAACAGCAAGACACTGCAACATGGCAGGCTCCTTCAATGCATCCCTAAAGGCAGAAGGAAACACCAGTGGAGCCCATTACTGTTTTAACTGTGTTCATCCACAAAGTGGTTTACACAAGTATCCTATTGTCATGAGTGCTGCCGAGGATCAGCTCCCAGCCCCAGCAGAAGTCTTGAGTACTGCTGAGGATGACCTCCCGGCTCCGGCAGAATCTACACCTGACACCAATGAAGCCGCAGAGCCCGCTCTGGCAACAGCTGGGGCAGAACAACACACGTCAGACAGCCCCCCTGGTTCGCCTCCACTGGTGACCCGTTTGTGGGATCAGCGCTGGCAGGACTTGGCATCCCGGCAGCAAGAGGCATGCCTGCGCAGCAGGTGGTCCCTCAGCCCTGAGTTCTAACAGGAGCCGGGACACACACGCTGGCCACTAATTGAAAACAGCACCTGAGGGATACTTAGCACCTCCCTCTCTGTTGATCCGTTGTGCCAGCAACTAGTCAGCTTGATGACGCTCTGCACCCACCTCGCCCGTGTTCCTGATTCTTGTTTCCTGCTTTGGCTCCTCGACCCCGGCTCTGACGACAACGCTCTTGGTTCATGCCCTGGACTCTGGTGTTTTGGCTCCTGACACCCCGGACTCTGGCTTGACTACTACGCTTGCGGTTTGTGCTTTGGGCTTGGTGTTTCTACCTTGGACTGGACTCTCTCACCCTGCCTGCACTCCAGCCCGTGACACCTATTCACAGTGGAATTAGAGGGCTGGGGCTGGTTGGAGGGAAAGCAACTGTCTACCTATCCTAGTGTTTCTTACAAACTCCCTATCTCAGTGCCCTTCACTTTATATCAATCTATGTTAGCTTTTTTAGAGGCATGGTATTTGCTTTTTCAGTTCAGTAAGGTGCATTAACCACAAATCAGTTGTGTGCTTTTTATGTGAGTTGAAACTGGTGTGGGATGTGCAGGCTCTTCTAGGTGCTTTGTTGTGGTTTTGGACTCTGTATGTGAATATTCTAGGTATGTGGTTGGCAGGTAGTGTTTGCAAAGAGTCAAAAACATCCAGGGCATACAAATAAAAAGATCAGGGTGGAGTGGGAAGAGTTCAGTATCTGCTACCAGCATCAAGTCTGACAAGGCTCAACAAATCCTAGGTCACCAGCAATGATTTTATTAGAGTCCCTTGGTGATCCTCAGGAGAAATACAATGTCTGCCATTTCACACCTGAATATGTTTTGTTGTGTGACATAAAATGCAGCTCCATGAGGTTCTCGTCATTGCTTCTTTATACATTAACTTTACACCATCCATGGATGCTGGATAAATTCATTGCTTAACCAGTTGCCTCTGTATTGGCTCAAAGAGTCAATTAACTTGAGCCTTTCAAAGCAATGATAGAATTTTGAGAAATTGGGGAGGTTAGATCAGGGATCTCCAGCAGGTAATTTGTGAGCTACAGGTTGCTTTCTGGCCTTTGCAGAGTAGATTGTTTATCCTGTAGGAGATCCAGTAAAGGATAGCAGAAAGATGTGCTCCAGGCTCTCCACCCTCCCAAAAAAAAACCCTTATGTCATAGGATTTTTCTCTGTGCTGCTTAGCTGATAGCTTCATTTCTGGTGCTGTTCCAAGTCCATGTTCAGTTTCTAGGACAGAACAAAACTTTGTAACATGCCGGGGGGGGGGGAGCTTGCTCTGGATGTTTTACGTTATTGAAAAGTAGCTCTCACTAAATAAGGTTGCCAGTCCCTGAGTTAGTATATGTTGTGGTGACAACAACCAGAGTTACCTCATATTAAATTATATACTACAGCACTTCTGTCATAGCTTTAATAAAATTATGAGAAACACTAAGGAGTTCAGGATTAGGTTTTGTGGTGGCAATAATTAGAAATTATGGTAATTAAAATTTTAAAACCCAAAGGCTAAAAAAGGGGTCTGATGCCTGAATTTTTGGCCTGACTCTCATTTTTTTGGCAAGGATTTATTTGAAATCTTGTTTGGTAAGGATTTACATGAAAGCTTGCTAGCCTCTGAACAGGGGTGTATGTGGCTTACTAGCCAATTTCTGCCTTTTTTGATGCCAGCAACGAATGATAAGAAATTTAGTGATGGAGTGAGGCTGAAATAGCAAATGTTGGTATGGAGACATGGAATAACATTTTTTAAAAATTAAGGTACAGCTGCTGGTTGGTTCAGTCTCCCTAATCTATGTTAGTACCATAACATGTTTCTCAGGAGTCGAATATCAGTTGCTGAATGCAGAGATGTATTAGATAGGGATAAGCAGAGGTCATTTCGGGGGGGAACGTGGGGGAACACAGTTCCCCCGGGTGAGGTGCAGGGGGCGGGGCACATGACAAAGCCCCGCTCCTTGCTTCCAGCCGCCCCACTTCCAGCCCTCATTCAGCCAGGAGGAGGCAGGAGAAGAGGGAGGGTAAGTTGCTTCCTCCCCGCCTCTCCCCACCCCTGCCTGCCTGGGGCCAGGGAGGGCCTTGGCAGGGCTTCCTCGCACTCCCACTGGCCTTGCAGGTCCACCGCCGGGCCCCTGATGTCAGGGGGTGTGGCATATGCTAATGAGTTATGCTAATGAGTTCCCCTAGCTATTTTTCTACGAAATGACCCCTGGGGATAAGGCTGTATTTAATATGACGGGAGGACATTGACTCTCATTCTTGGTTTTAATAAATTATGTTTAAGTTTGAATGTAGAGTTTGTTTTGTGGGAGAATCCAGCCATTCATTTTGAGGTAGAATGAGATTACAGATGACTTTGATGGGCAAAGGATTCTGTTTACTTATTCAACTTGTTGTGGAAGATGTTTTCATTAAAGCTTGGATCAGTGTCCAAAACTTGGGTCAGAGGACTATAGCACTTTGGAATCATTTTGTCTTTAGTATTTGTCTTTGAGTGGAATACTTTGTCCAGCTGTTTTGATCTGCAATTTTATTACAATAGCCAGGACAGGGAAGGGTGTCCTGCCTTATTCCAGATAGTTTGATTTAATAATTTGTTTGTGAGTATAATCTATTCTTACAAATACTTTCTAAGAATGGTAACTTATGAGTTCAACTTCATTAGTGGTAAAAAGATTAGTGCTCTCAGCACTTCAAGTATAACCACTGTCTTTCTTTTGAGCATTGTGTAGAGATCTTGCTTTATGCACAGTATACTATGAAATACACCTCATAAAAAGGAGACTCCTGAACCAAAACTTGTATTTGGCATAAGTTTGTGGGTTTATAACTACTGAAGTTTATGTACTTCCATTAGTTCTGGGCTGGTCAACTGCTCATTCTTTCTTCCCCTCCAGTTTTCGCTTCATACATAGTGCCATCCTGACTGAGCAGTTACACTCTTCTTGGTCCTTTGAAGTCAGCAGGCTATAGCCTGGATGCCTCACTTTTGGTGGAGGCCCAGGTCACCACAGTTGCCAGGTCGGCTTTTAATCATCTTTGGCAGATCAGGCAACTGGTTCCCTATATCTCTGCCCCAGGACTTGGCTACAGTGACCCATGTGATGGTCACTTCTAGGCTTGATTACTGTAGCTTGCTTTACATGGGCTTACCCCTGAAACTGATCCAGAAGCTCCAGCTAGTGCAAAATGCAGCAGCGTGCCTGCTGACTGCAACATCTGTGCGGGCGCGCATCCAGCTGGTGCTACACCAATTGCACTGGCTACCAGTGGAGTACTAGATCCATTTCAAGGTGTTGGTATTGACCGTTAAAGCCCTATGTGGCCTGGGACTGACATATCTAAGGGACTGCCTCTCCCCATATGTGCTCCAGAGAGTCTTGTGCACGGTGGTTGTCTACTGGTTGTCTACTGGTTGTCCGTGGCCCAAAGAACGTCCACTTAGCCTCGACCAGGGCCAGGGCTTTTTCTGCCCTGGCCTGGTGGAACATACTCCCATCTGAGCTCAGGACTCTGCGAGATCTATTGCTGTTTTGCAAAATGGAGTGGTTCTGCTAAGCCTTCGGTTGAGGCGGCAGGCACCCAATTATTTGGCCTCCCTTGCTGAGGCTTTCTAATCTGTATGCTGCCCATATGAATAACATCTTTACTGTTCTTTGGTTCATGGTCTTGTTGCTTCCAGCTATTTAGGATGGTTGAACCTTATGAATTTATTGTAGTTCCTACCTTTTGAATTGTTTTAATTATTTATTTGTTATTATTTTTAATGGTTTTGTAACTTTACTGTTGTGACCTGCCCTGAGCCCACTTGCAGGGAGGGTGGGATATAAATCTAAATAAATAAATAAAAGCATGCTTCAGATAGCACTGATAATAATTTGACTAAATAATTTCACTAAATTAATAATTTGACCTTCCCCCATCTTTACTTTTCTTTGCTACATATATTGTTAGCTCTTGAGAAAATATATGGGAAAGATGGGTAGCAGATTTGTTTGTGTTTAAATGTGTACATTTGTAAAAAAACAAAAACAACAACAATTTTACATGAATCAGTAGATAACTTCTCTTGGGTCTGCTGGGACTGTTTAAAATGTTATACACATTATCTTGTGTTTCTGTACATATGTCAGAATATGCTATATGCTTCCTTAGAACATCTACATTATGAGGAAATAATAAAACTTATTCTCGCAGCCACAATCTGGCTTTGTTAACTAAGGAAAAGATTTATTTATTTATTGTGTAAGCAAGATGTTCTGTGATCGGATTTGAGATGGAATTTGGCCTTTGAAATTGCCTAAGGGAATTATTCTAATCATTTAAAAAATTGATTCCAAGTTGATTCTGTTTTCCACATGCTAAGACCTAGTCCCTTTGTTGTTATTGTTGTTGTTATACATTTGCCGGTGCTGATAGCATGTTGTGTTTCATAAACTGACAGTGCAGTAAATAAAGAGATAACTATGAGGATCACATTTGGAGAAACTCTATTTAGGCCCCGGTCACACGGGCCGGATACTGCGGGGGGGGGGAGGCGTGGCTAATTGCCCCGGCACAGTTTGATCCACGATTACGTGATCAGACGCACCGGCGGCACACCACAGGTCCTTCCCTCAGCGTCGGCGGGTAAACGAGGTACCGGAGGGGAATGCCGCGCACCGGCGCGATCACACCACGGGAGTCTGGAGGCAGCCCGTGGCAAACGTTTACTAGTACTTTGGAGGTACTACTTTTTTAACGCACATTGCTGGCGGTAAGCCACAAGTACGCTCCACTTCCCAGATGTTGGGGTGTGATCGCGCCCAGATAATCCGCCCACCATCCGTGCCTCTCCCGCGGCAACTTTGTCATGTGACCGGGGCCTTACTTTCTCAAAACAAATATGAATAGGAATTCATTTTTTTAATTGTATAATGAAAAATGAGACATTTAGATGAGAATGGATAAACACCAACTTGGTATTTTTATTACAGTTCCATCTCCACGCCCAGAAGGAACATTCCTCGATAACAGTGCCTCTAACAGAATCCCTGCACTACCAGCAGAGAGTGGCAGTATAACAAGCCACTCGAAGAGACAAACTGCTTTTGATCCCTGGTGAGAGCATTGGTATCTTCATGAGATATTGTGGGAAAGGGGATGGTGATGGGAAACATATTCATGACACTTGGGAAGGGACTGTGCCTCAAACACAGGACAGAACAGAAACAGTCCCTGACATCTCTAGTCAAAGGATCTTAGGTAGCAGGTGTTAGAAAAAACCTTTCTGTGCTGGAGATTCTTGAGGAGAGTACTCCTTCAGAATAGTCAACACTGAACTAGATGAACTGATAGTCTGATTCTGTTATAAACTTTATATGTTCCTCAGGCATCTTCTGCCCTGTCCATCTCTTTGTGTAGCTCAAACTAAAGTTGAAGCATTTTACAGTTTCCAAAATTGAAGGGTCAATTCTTTGAAATGCAAAATTCAATTGTTTACTCTTGCCTAATCCTAGACGTCTTTTTTAATGGCATCAGATTATCTGGTACATTTCCTCCTACTTAAAATCCTTGTTTGCTGTGGTATGGACTGAACAATCTTTGCTGTTTTTCTTGGCTGCAATAGATTTTAAATAGGGTTTGGTTCACTTGATAAAAAGTCTAGCTTTCATCTATCCACTACTGATGATTAAAGGAGAAATGAATTTTAATTGGCAGTTGCATAAGATGGGAGTATCCTAGTATATATATCCTGTACTACAGGGTACATACAGTAACTTTAATCCTCTTGTACAGTTTTAAAATACCATTCTGTGGGTACCAGATGAGGCAAAGGCAGTGAATAAAATTTTAAAAACTTAATTTTGGCTGTTTCTTCCAACTAAACATATGTTAGCAGTATAACATAGTGTGATGAATGTGTGTTGTGTGGGTGGCTAGCCTAGAGAAATAGCTTTTAAGGGCATTAACTCAGAGTCCTGTTTTAAAAAATACCTCAGCTAATGAAAAGAGATGAAAATGCATCTTTCCATGTATAATTTAGGATATTTTGTGAGTAATATAGTTGTCATGAAGGTGGTGAAAGTGAATAAAGAAACATTTTTCTCTCCCATAATAATACGATTCTGTGTCACATCAGAGCAGCTGGGAAGTAAAACTCTGGGTAATTGATTGGCCTTAGATTCAGTAATAGCAAAAGGAATTACTTCTCTTCGTACAGTGCATATTTTAAATTAGGAATAGCTAGATTTGAGTCCAATAGCACCTTAGAGACCAACGTTTGGGAGGGATATAAGCTTTCAGGAGTATCTGATGAAGGAAGCTTGGACCTCTTCAAAGCTTATACCCTGAAAATGTTGTTGGTCTCTAAGGTGCTACTAGACCTGACCGGAGAGCAAGTTTGGTGTAGTGGTGAAAACTGGCAGACTCTAACCTGGAGCACTAAGTTTGATTTCCCCACTCCTCCACATGCAGCCAGCTGGGCGACCTTGGGTCAGTCACAGTTCTCTCAGAGGTGTTCTCTCAAGAGCAGTTCTCTCAGAGCTCTCTCAGCCCCACCTACTTCATGGGGTGTCTGTTGTGGGGAGAGGAAGGGAAGGAGATTGTAAGCTGCTCTGAGACTCCTAGTGAAGGGTGGGGTATAAATCCAATTCTCCTCCTCCTCCTCCTCCTCCTCCTAACTGTTCTGCTGCAGACTGACATGGCTGCCCTCTGAAACGAATTCAGGAAATTCCCTGCCGCAAGGTATGACTGCTCTAAGATAGCTTTTAAAAAGATGGGTCACATCAATGGTTTTAGCTATATTAGTTCAAGGAAAGAGATTGTATGAACACAAGATATTTTGTATAAAGAGCTGGGAAGACATTCACTGTCTTGCCTTTCTGAACACAGTTGGAAATTTTGGATTCCATAGACTTTGGTCTAATCTGGCAAAGTGATTTTTGTTTGATTAACTCTGAGCTAAATACTCATTCTAGGGAAATGAACAACAGTTTATTTGATCCGTGTACAATAAAATTAATGTTGATATTTAACTTGACTCACTACTCTGAGAAGGGATGGGTGACAGATGTGCTGTGAGAGACTTTCAAAGATTAGGCAATGTAAACTCTAATGCCTACCTCACCTCACTATCCCCATTCTTCACAGTGCCTGCCTTCTGTCTCATCTGTTACTCTGAACTGACTGGCATTCTGCTTACTCCAGTCCCATACTCTGTTTTGTTAATCCTATTCTCTCTCTTGTCCTTTATCTCACGTGTTTATCTGTCTTGTTGCTTTAACAATATTCATATCAATGCTATCTAAAAGACTTCTTTGTTGAATCCAATCCTCTAATTTATTATCCCATCTTCACCTTTCTTATTACCTCCTCTTTTTTAAAAAAAAATCGTTCTAGCTTTTGGTTCTTGTCTTCTAATTCAGTCTGGGTTCTGTGAACTCTTACTATATTTGGGGTTAGCAACCCCCTTTGCCTAAATCTAAAGATCTCTTCTCTGTTACTGTATCTCAGTTGCTGTATCTGTCTGCCTTTTTGGTATATCTGTTCATTTTTAAAAAATAATTTTATTTATAGTCCGCCTTTCTTACTGAGACTCAAAGTGGATTACACAGTGTAAGTCAATACAGTCAACAGGATGGGATATCTAGCTGAAACAAAGCATAAATGTTAACATGAGAAGCAATATAGAAATTACAGTAGGGTAATACATGCTGTAGAGGCTGTGGTGGCTCAGAGGTTAAGACGCTGAGCTGCAGACCGGAAGGTCTGTAGTTCAGCAGTTCGAGACCCGAGTGCCACATGACGGCGTGAGCTCCTGTCTCTGGTTCCAGCTCCTGCCAACCTAGCAGTTCAAAAGCAAGAAATTGCAAGTAGATAAATAGGTACCACTTCGGTGGGAAGGTAACAGCGTTCTGTGCGCCTTGGTGTTTAGTCACGCCGGCCACATGCCCATGGAAATGTCCTTGGACAGCACTGGCACTTTGGCTTGGAAACAGAGATGAGCACCGCCCCCTAGAGTCGGATTCAACTAGCTTTCAAGTAAGGGAAACCTTTACCTTTAGCTTAATACATACTGCAACAGATTATATGTGTTATACACACCAGTATAGTCCACAGTCCCTATCCCTTCATTAAAGCCATTATATTAAAGCACTTTCTGAACCATTAGAGTAAAGCACTGTTCCCTATGTAAAAATGCCCTCCTGAATAAATCATTTTTGCACAGTTTGCAGAATGCCAAGAGAATGCGCACCTTCTTAACCTCATCCAGCAGGCAGTTCCTTAAGGTGGGGGCCGCAACAGAGAATGCACTTCTATGCACAGTTGTTGATCTTTCCCATTTGCAGAATGACATCTGTAGAAGGCCCTTCTAGAATGAGTGAAGATGTCATGGCATAGCATAGGAGAAGAGGCGGTCCTACAGATAAGATGGTCAAAGGCTTTGAGGGGCTTTGTATGTTATAGCCGATATCTTGAATTGAACTCAGTAACTGATGGGCAGCCAATGGAGTGACTGCAGAATGGAAGTAATACGCATGCTCTGCCTAGCTCCTGAGCTTCTGTGCCAACTGGCAGTCTCTGAGTTGACTGCAGTCTCTGAGTGGACTGAGTTGACTCTAGTCTCAGAGTTTCTATGGTGTGGATCCAGGTGGCTAGATCAGCCAAGCTATGGTAGGGGGGCCATCTTCTGGGCTAAACTGAAATGGAAGAAAGTGGGGCTTTTAAAAGCTGCATTAACTTGCTTCTCAAGCAGTAGTGCTGAATCCAGCATAATCCCTTGGCACATGACCAAGTCAGCAAGGGTCAGCTGAACCCCAGTGAGGATGGGAAGCACAATGTCCATCAAGGTCTCCCCCTTCCTGACATCCTGAGAAATGATATGAACCAGTCCAAAGCATGTCCTCAGTACGTGCCTCTGCCTCCAAATACCCCAGCAGGATGGCATGGTCCACTGTATCAAAGGCTGCACTTAAATCCCAGTAAGAGCAACAAAGAGTCATGGCCTTTGTCTGCATTCATAGTGGTCATCTGCTAAAGCTACCTCTATCCGATAATGTGTTGTACGCCACCCTGAGCCTTGTCTTTCAGGGTAACCTAAAAGTGTAATTTAATAAATAAATAAATAATAGCCTGGCCTGAAGCCAGACTGAAACGTTTCCAGTATCACAGATAAGAACAAACCATGACAAACTAACTACTAATAATTACTTCCAAATGCATTTTGGTAATTTTATATAATTTCCACATAAATAGTGCAAAACATGCCAAGTTATTCATTGTGCAGCATAGATAAATACAATCTCAATTTGGTATTAATTCAAAAAGATTCATTCAATAGTGTTATTACAAAAATTAATAAAAGGGAAGAGTCTCCTAAAGAGTAAGGGATGCATTCAGTATACACAAATCGTAGCAGCTTCAAATTCTGTTGAAAAGCATCCTGTATTCAAATCAAAGCAGCTTCAAATCCTGTTGGTAACCATCCTGCAACACAGATGCCTGCTTGAAGCTGTGTTTCGACAGACTTTTTCATGGCAGGAACATCACTTTCCTTTCAAGTTGATAGCTGCAAAATGAACATAAGAAAAATTTCTGATGTTGCTCCCTTCCTTGAAAGTGGAGATTGAGATTGTATTTATCTATGCTACACATTGAATAACTTGGCATGTTTTGCACTATTTATGTGGAAATTATATAAAATTACCAAAATGTATTTGGAAGTAATTATTAGTAGTTAGTTTGTCATGATTTATTCTTATCTGTGATAGTTGTTTTCCATGATTCTCTCTTTCTTTGGTTGTGAAAAGTTTCCAGAGCAGATGAGTTTTTCAGGAAGCCCTGGAGTTGGTCCTCTACTGCTCTCTCATTTTGTCCAGATTAGAGACTGGGTGATAATTGGCCTCATTTTTCTGAAGGAATAGTTTTTAAACTAGTGGATGGATAACCACCTCTTGACCAGTGTAGATGTTAAATTTTTGATAAGATTCTTGCTATAATCTAAATTAATAAATCTTAATTGCATTGTTTCTTTACATGTAGAATTTCTTGGTAAGATTTTAGTTAGCTTGTTAATGTAATTTGCTTAGCTTTACCCTTTTTTCTGGTCTTAATGGATCCAAAGGACTATGCTCATGGAATTGATCTTTCCTGTCTCCTACTTCCTGCTGTACTTCCTGAAATACTGGTCCTGAAGACAGAGAAAATATAAACTATGTGGGATGTGATGCAGATAGTCTATAGTGGGATGGAGAATTGCCAAAAATTGTTTCCTCTTATAAAAAGATTACTACTTTAGTTTCAATCTGAAAATTATTTTAATGTTATTTGTAACATTATTTATACCCCAGCAGGTAAAATGAACCTATGACATTTCATGAAATCAAAATAAACCATATGAGAGAGCCAATGATAACAGGGGAAAAACTGAATAGTTCCATGTCATTGAATTTGCTGGGAAGTTTCCAGACCCATTTCTGTATTTTATCCAAATCCACAGCTGGGGCAGAGGAGATTTATTGCTGTATAGTTCTTAATGTGTTGGATCTTGATGCTGTGGTTAGAGTATCAGACTAGGATCTGGGAGACGCAGACCCATGGAAGCTTGCTGGATGACCATTGTGAGGACATAATGAAAAATCTTTTGAGAATACATGGTCAAGATTTTATAAATGGATGGAAGAGTACAACAATTAGCATTATGGACATACAACTGAACTAGAAGAAAACAAAAATTATATGCTTAACTATAAACAAGAGATATACATAAAATGCAGGGTGATAAAAAGTTAAAAATATAATTGGACAAACCAAAATGTAAAATGGAACCCCCGAAATCTATGTTTATATGTTTGTATGTTATGTGTGTGTTTTATAAAATAAAAAAATGTTCAAAAAAGAAGAAGAAGGAAGAAGAAGGAAGAAGAAGAAGAAGAAGCAGCAGCAGCAGCAGCAGCAGCAGCTTGCTGGATGACCTTTAACCAGTTGCACCATGAAAGTGTGTGCCTAACCTACTTCACAAGGTTGTTGTGAAAATAAAATGGAAGATGTTAGAAAGATGTTATCCACTTTACATCCCCACTGAAGGAAAAGGCAGGGCATGAAATGAAGTAAATAGGCATAGTGTGTGGTGATGCTGGCAGCCAGCACAGAGCAGGTTGCACTTCCCTAAAGGATGGTTTCTTGGCAGCAAATTAAGCAGCAGGTAGAATGTAGTTAGTGCAGGCTGTGCAAAGCCTTTGAGCCCAGGCGTAGGCCAATACTGTCAATCTGTGCTTGTGCCTGGACATCTGTGCCAAAGCCTCGTATGGCCCCCAGTGGTTTGGCAGGTCTGTCTGAGCTCAATGAGCATTCTGGAAAGCATCCCTGAATTCTTTCATGAACATTAAAGCCTGTCATGAATTGCCCCAATTTGGAGCAACCTTTATGTATTTTAGAGCTTCCTGAGGGCTTATAGTTTAAAAGGGTTGGTGGATTATTATTATTTTTGTCCTGATGTTTAGCATAATGCTTGCACAAAATGCTGTTTTACAACATTTTAATCTTTTCCCCTTGCATGTTTAGGAAAAGTCCTGAAAATGCTCATTCTGAACAACTAAAGGAAAAAGAAAAGCAAGGTTTTTTCAGGTCAATGAAAAAGAAAAAAAAGAAGTCTCAGTCTGTAAGTAGCTTTGTTTTCTAAAATTAGTGTGTATTTTCCCTTTTTTAAAGTAGAACTGCAGCTTTAGATCCCCCCCCCCCGCTGTTTTGTCGTAACTTTTTAAATCTAGAAATTTAATTTTGTCTAATATCTCTAATATAGCCTTCTGACAGTCTGACTTTCAGGCTGATGCACCAGCATGCTAGTAGTTAAAACAGGACACGAGAGCTACACCAGAATGTTATCTCAGATAATGATAACATGCCAGTCAGTTTGGAGTGCATCATCTGCAGAGGATAAGTTTCTGTGGCACTATTCCAAGCATAATATTGACAAAGTAGATTAACTTCTTTAGCAAATGTGTTGAAGATTACCTATAAGGAGAATTTTTTTTTAATTATCTGTTGGATTTGTGTCCGACTCCTGACTCAGGTCAGCTTGCACAAAAATAAAATAAGTCTCTCAGCAATAAAACAATTAAACTAAAGCACTAGTACAAAGACCACAAGTGCAGCAGAGTGAAAGAACTGGAACCAAGTAAACTAGCTTGTAAAGATGTGTTCCAGTATATTCTCATATTTTAATTCAGCCTGTTTAAAAATGGATCTTTAAGAACATTTCTGTTGACCTTAGGAAGCTGGGGTGGGTGCTTACATGGCTAGTCTAAAGGCAGAGACATTCCTTTAGGCAACACTTTTTAGTATGATTTATGTTTACTCTGTCGAATACTTATTAGTACAAACACTTGAAATGAGACAAGTAGGATATTACTAGTGCAGTTTTATAAAAATGTTATTGAGTAGTAGATGAATTTGTCCTAACCTAGAGGTCCAAGCTGGTCAAATCTTATCAGATCTCAGAAACTAAGCAGGATCAGCCCTGGTTAGTACTTGGATGGGAGACCACCAAAGAAGGTCCAGGGTTGCTATGCAGAGGCAGACAGTGACTACCTCTGTTCATCTCTCACCTTGAAACCCCGGCAGGGTTGCTGTAAGTCAGCTGCAGCTTGGCGGCACTTTCCACACAAGTAGATGAATTTCGTTGTTTTGCAGAGTAAATCAATTATCCAACAAAGCGTATCAGACAGCACAACTAACCTTCGATTTGTCTATGAGGGGCACAAACATTGCTTGTTGCCAAGCTTGTATGTTCTGTTTTCTCCTCCCACCCCCACCCCCCTTAATTCACAGAGTGTGCTTGGAGGCTTCCTAGTGTTGAAGCCTTCAGTCAAATGCTAATGCGCTGTAACATCCAAATGCAGGCTCTTGGGCAAATTGGAGTTTGTTTCTTCCCCAAAATCTGAGACTCTAAATTGGGATTAAGCTGTGTTTTTACCATCCTTGGACAAACAGGTGTGTTGTGACAGCTGAATGCAGCGTGTGTGTGTGTATCCATCTGTATGGATGCACATATGCTGCTTGCCTTTAGAGTAAAAGAATGAATATGTTGGCAGTGTGTCTTTGGAATTTGTGGCTATCATAGCATTAAACTCAGAATTCATTTTTTACATTGTTGTCTTGTTTACCAGAACAATGAAGACAAAAAGGATCTCAAGATAATGATTATGTTCCTTAATTATAAAAGTGTTATTTATTTAAATTTTGCCAATTCATTCTTTAGCATACTGGACTCCCCTTTGAAGACATTCCGGACATAGCTATAATGAAATTCCATTGAACTTTTTCGTGTTTGGCTGTTAGACCATCTCTACTGCTGGCCAATGTTTGAATAAAATACATTACATAATGCAGTTTCAAAATACTTACTGAGCTGTTACGAAATCCACCATGCTTTTAATGAATGTGATTAATGTGATGTTCACATGAATGAATGTTATCTGTTGCTGTGATATTTACATTCTCATGTTAAAAGTTTTCTATTAACCTTGCATTTCAGTTATGATCGTTTTGCTCTTTTTCCGGAATATCTTCATTTTCAAAAGAATTGTTTATAAGGCTAAAAACACATTATGCAGTGTAGTTATGAGTATGAAAACATGTGCATAAGTGTATTAAAAGAAAATCAATAAGACAAACAGGCAAAATTCAAATAGGCATTTTTAAAGGAAAGCTGCTGCCTGAATGGTCAGGAAAACTGAATTGCATTCAGCCTGTGAAGGTTGCCTAAGTTCACACAAGTGTCAGTAATACCACAACTTCACAGTCTGACACAATGAACTGTTCTGCTGACTAAAGCTGTTAACGTTGAGGCAGCCCCTTGACTCAGCTCAAGCTATTGTGTTAATGATGCACCATGGATTGATACTACTCTCCCCCATGATGAGATACATTGTGCATAGTTGTTTCTAAAACACAGAATTGGGAACAGAGGTGATGTGACATATGTAGGATTGCAGGCTGTTTGTCAGTTGGGCAGAGACCTTAGCAACTAGGCACTGAAAATAGTAATACCTAAAATATTTTGTATATATTTTGAGGATTTCATAATATTAAGGCATTTACTTGTCTGTGGTAGATCTTAAAAAGCAAAGACAACTAGGTTGTCATCAGAAAGATCATCCTATTTTCAATCTATTAAAGTTCTTCCAAGGTATCCACATAGTGGGAATTCTGCACTGTTGGAAATTCCAATTAGTAGAGGTATTTTCTTGGACCATTGTATTTAAAATAGGAATTGGAACTTAGCAATATAATGTAGCTACATTTTTCATTTGCTCCAGACCTTGTACATGGCCCTTGATGTGTCTTCAGTTTACCCAGATGCCTTTCTACTGATTGATATAATTCAGAAATGCCTCTGGGTACCCTAAAGGTTGTTCAGGCATACATTTTCATTGACAGATGAGAAAGAATGGTTTGTCAAATGGGTAATCTTTAATTACTTGCTTGATTCTTTTCATGCAAATAAACCTTTCTCGGAGTTCTCTCACAAATTGGTGAATCTGGACCCAATGTGTCATTTTAATTTAAGACCCTAAAATCCCACTTTGTGAAAGTAAAATGTATACACATGTATTTCTGTTGCATTCAAAAATCACATTTATTTATTTATTTTTAGTATTTATAGTCTGCTTTTCTCATTGATAGTGAAGGCGGATTATACAATGTAAAACAGTGCAATCAGTAAGACAATACAACTCATAAACAATGCTATAAGCCTAGGATTGCAGAAATTTGAAACAGAGCTATATTCTGAACAAAGCTCGAGTACTAACTATGACATATTAAACAATGCAGAACATGGTACTACATAAGCATGGTACTACATTTTCCTGGACCAGTCTGTCACGATGTAGCCCTATTTCCTTTATAAAAAATTCCTTCCTGATCAATTATGTTACATACTTTGCAAAATGGCAGATACGTGGGAACCTTCCTGACTTCCGTTCCAGGGGAAGCACTACAGAGAAGGGACCTGTACGGGCAATTGTTGATCTTGCCCATTTGGAGGGTGATAGTGATGATTCCGTAGCCATAGCTCATATACTTGACCCAAAAGGCAAATAAAAGTACATTTAATTTACTAAGCCCAGACTGACATGTATGTTCTTTAAATATACTGGGGGTGGAAGTAGTGTTTATATTAAACGGTTCTAATTCAGCAGAACAATTAATCTGATCTTGCCACAGTTAAGAAAAGGCAGATATAATATGAAAATAACTATCTGTTAGTATATGTACTGGTTAAGAGGCAAGGGTAGTTCTCCTGAATTAGAATTATTTATGCAATTAGTTTTTGTATCTTATATTGCAGACAGAATCCACCAAGGCGGAGAATCCAAGCATCAAGAAATCTCTGTTTCCTCTTTTTAATTCAAAGAATCACTTAAAGCATAGCTCTTCTTTGAAAAAGATTCCTGTAGTCACTCTACCCATGGTATTAATATTTAAGAATGGTAACACTGAAAAAACACTCCAGTAAAAATTTTTCACTGAACACAGCAGCATGTATTTTTTTTCCATGGGGGCCACAGTCTCTTCATAGAAGTTAAGTATCCTGAGCCATTTCCACAAATGAAAAGGTGGTTTGATTTCAGAAACATTATTACCTTGATTTTCTAAAGAATTTCTAAAGAAACAATAATTAATAACTTGATTTGCTACAGAATTATAATATATTTTAATGTCCTTTACATTCCTTATATTTCATGGCAGACAGCTCCTTATTACTTTCCGCTGGTAGAACAAAGACTAAGCCCCTTCTACTTAATGGTGGAACAAGTTTTTACCTTTATTTTCTAATAAAGGCCAATTAGCAAACCTTCTCCCTTTCCAAGGAAGCTCAGTAATATTCATGGTGATGTATTCAACCACAGTACCCCCCAATCAATTCGTTTTTTGAATTGGCAAAAACTGTTTCTGATTAGATTTTGTTTTGCCTAAAGCTTCCTTCCTTTGCGCTGAGGGAGAGTAAAAGACTTCAATGTCTATATAATGCTAAATACCCACCAATTTCATTCATTCTTTTAAACTCATTTTTCCTTGGTTTTGTGGAAGTGGCTCATGATCTTAACAGCTGTTTGGAATGCTATTAAAATGAGGAACAAATGCAGCAAGGCACTTATTTAACTGTTCTCTCTTCCTTACAGTGACTTGACTAACAGCATGTGAATGCCTTAAGGGTGGAGGTTATAACAAATCTGCATGGCATCTATAAACATGATGATTATTAAAGAGATATTAAGAATATTGCAATTTAGTTGCAATAATGGGCTTCACCTGCATTGCTTGGATCTGGGTGGCAGGGAGAAGGGAGGCAGCAAAGTGCATTTCTTCTTAGAAACTTATCAGCATCCATTTTTTATATGTGTTGCAGATGCCGGGAAGTGATAGTCAGGATCTTTTGGCATTACAGAAAGCTATTCACTCATCTAATCATCCAGCTAGCAGGCAGAAGGATTGGCATTCTGACAAAATGACAGAAATCCAAAGTCATGTAAGTGAAGTTACTGCTTCATTCCATTTTAAGATCACTGTGATGTCTTGGCAGATGGTTCATCCTGCAGTGAATTAGAGATGTAGGGCCGCTAGGTTGCAACGCAGACAATCCTGTACCTTAAACCACTAGAGTTGGAAGAGGAAGTAAGTGTGGCTTCTTCTCCCCATTTCCCCCCTCTTAGTCCATTCTTCTCTCTCACTTGCTCTAGCAAGTATGCTAACAAAATTAGTAAAATAATGGCACACAGCAGAGAAGCAAAAGGTGGACAGCAGAATCTGTTGAATCTGTTGAATCTGTAATGGTGAGGGATGCCCCAATAGCCACCTGGAGAACCATTTTCCCATGAGTGCCACCAGTGTAGCTGGTGAAGAGAAGCAGCAGTCAGCTGATCAGCAGTGGAGAGGGAGGGGAGAACAAGTGAGACAGGGATTTCTCCTTAGCTCAGGTAGATTGTTGATTCCTGTGTATCCCATTCTGCCCTGAAGTTCTAAAATGGCCCAGGATAGGAGGACTGGAATAAATAAAGTATATTATCTGTTCCTAATTTGTGGAACTATTCATTCACTAGCTGTTTTGGGATCTTTAACTGGAAATAACTGTTGTTTTAACTTAAAACCCCTTTATTTGAATTAATTACAAAGTTAGCCACTTAATAAAAAAATAAGTGTGTTTTAAAAAATAAGTGTGTTTAAAAATTAAAACATAAGTGATTGAATAACAGTTTTATATATTGGAAGGAATGTAAAATGATCATAGCTCAAGAAATTCTTAAAGCTGAGTGGAAGACTGACTCTTGTCCACTTAAAAAATTTTAAGGGACTTGATAACACCTAAGTCCAACCTGCTTAATTGTGATAATTTGGTCTTGTGTGCTGTTTGCTCTTTTTTTTTTTTAGCAAATTTATGTGCTGTCTCTCCATAGGCCTGCTCACAGATCCATGCTTTTGTAACTTTGGCTGCCTTTGAAAACCGCCTGGAAGCTACAGCTGGTTCAGAACACAGCAGCTCAGTTACTGTCAGGGGTTAGATGCAAATTTATTTCAGAATCCCATTCAAAGAGCTGGTTATAACCTTTAAAGCCTGTCATGACCTACCACCTCTATATCTGAAGGACAATCCCTACCTGCTTGTCCTTGTGCACTAACTATATATGGTCTTGTGGTTGCCTCCTTCTGGTTCTGCTGCTTAAGGTTGCCCACTTAATGTGAACCATGTTTTTAATATAGCAGTTCCTCATGTAGAACAAGGTTTCCCATGTAGAACAAGCTTCCTTGATGGCGGGTGTGGGGGAGTGCCATATTACAAATTTGTAAGGAGAGTCCTGCTGGATTTTTATTTATTTTTATTTACATGTGATATATACATGCGATTGGACAAGTGCTTCATCTAGTCCGGCCAACAAACAGGGAACAGGGAACAAGGCCTTCCTCTGATGTTACCTCCTAATACTGGAGCCTTACAGCCTCTGAATGTAGTGGTTCCCAGGGAAACTTGACTAGTAACTGCGGATAGACCCTATCCTCCATGAATCTGACTAATCCCCCTTTAAAGTCAGCCATGCTTATGGCCATCACTGTGTCCATCAGCACACAGTTTAACTACTTGTTGAATGAAAAAAAAAATTCTTGCCTGTGCTAAATCTGTTGTCCATCAACTTCATTGGGTTCTTCAAGTTCTAGTATTATGGAAGAGAGAGAAATTGTTACCTACTTTCTGTACCCCATGCATAGTTTTCTAAACCTGTTATGACCACCCTTCATAATCTTTTTTGTAAACCAAAAAGATCTAGATTCTTTAGCCTTTTCTCATAGGAAAGGTGCTCCAGTCCCTCAGATATCTTGCTTGTCCTCTTCTGTACTTTCCAGATGTGTAATAGCTTGTTTGGCATAACAGCAACTGGAACGGTACATAGTATTCTTTAAAGGGGACATTATAATATTGGCCATTTTATTGTTCATCTTTTCCCCCAATAATCTCCACCTCCCTGGCTGGTTTCCTAATATATTTAAAAAATACTTGTTTTTCTGTCTTGATATCTTTAGCAGTCCTCGCCTCAGATTCTCTTTATGTAGAATTGTCAATTTACGGCTCCGGTCACACGGGCCGGAAAACACGGGGGGGAAGCGTGGCTGTTTGCCCCAGGGCAAAATAACACGCGGTTGCGCAAGCAGACGTCCCATGGAGGTCCCGTGGTTAGGGGGGAGGTGCCGATCACAGGACAATCCTGTGGCGCTGCAAAGAAGCGGGGCAAATGGGGTTGTGTTTGTTTTTTTTACGAAAGTGTGCGCATGCTCCATTGGGTGCTTGTGCGCATCCATGGAGACTTGGGGGGGGAAACCTTTTTGCGAGGGGACATGGGCGGGCACCAGAACTACCACCGGAAACGCGATCAGACGCCCGCTCATGCCCTGCAGTTTCCGGAAACTAGTTTTTTACGGTGCATCTTCGGAGTGAAGCCTCGGGTGAGCCATGGGAGCTCTACGTTTCCCAGATGTGGCAGTGAGATTGCACCTGGAAAATCCGCCTAGCTTCCATCTCTCTAGCGTGCCTAATGCTCCGTGTGACCCCAGCTTACATTTGTTTTGCCAGAACCTGTGGTCATCAGGCCCGTAGCCCGCGTGGGGCCCACGGGGCTGGGCCCCCCGCTGATATTGCGGGCCCCCTCCCGATCCTCTGCTCCCCCTCCCCCCCATTGCCGCCGCCTCCGGTATCCTGCAGGCTGCTGGGGCGTCTGCG